TATCTAACAGCGAATTCAAGCTCTAGAGTTTTCTGCAAAAGTCGAGACTCTAATTTCAGTGTAACTCAGAACAGATAGAGTCCAAAAATCATTAGATCCTTCCTCTTCAGAAGGTTTATGCATTTATGAAGTTGATTTTTCCTACCGCCAATAGACATCATTTTCGCGAATAGCAGACTTCCACTTCGTATGAAAGTGTATAATGAATATATTCGTTAGTTAATCTCACCGAAAGCCGACTGCTGATTGCCGTTGTTTTGCAGCCATCTTGCTTTAAAATGACATTCAGGCTGGCGCAGTGCACGAAGCGTCATCTCCGGGTCCGGGTGAAAACAGGTACAAATTTCGTCCGTCGTGTCAGTGGATCGACATCCTTAGAGATAAAAGACACTTAAGTTGTTTTTTAAGCAGGTTTTCGAGACTACCAGTAGAGCTTCTATATTTAGTTTTAAGGTTATAAGGGAGTTAGGAGTTGAATTCTCCCACAATGATATGAGAAACCTCATGTTTTCCTTGAATTTCATATAGCTTTGCTTTCCTAAAGGGTATTCCTATCCAGGGTGGACTACAGTTTCGATTGGAGTCATGGTTCAAGTCCCGCTGGGGGTGCTGAGGAGACATAGATGAGGTCTAAACGGCAGTCCACTTCTGCCTGGATGAGAATATCTTCTGGGAAGCAGGACTATGTGCAATTCAGTGGAAATGTAAGGTCTATTCATATCATTGTGAGCAGCTTCAGCTACTAGTCACTTCATCGCCGTAAAAGAAATAGGGAAAATACATCTCATATTTAGTTTCTTGACTGTTTTGTTTATTTCCATAGAGCTTGAATGTGAAATCCCCGTTGACTACTGAACGCTATGTTTTAGACCTCTCTATTACCTGTCTTTTATAAACCATGTGTTTAGCTAGCTGAGATTTTTAGATCCACAGAACATTGTAGGCGGTTTTGTGTTCAGATAGCCTATTATTTTTGGATAGACAGGTCTGTCCCACATGAACATTACCACATAGATGCAAAACTTCGCATAATCCTGATCTAGGATGAGGAACCGAAAATGTTGATCTTCTGATATTCCACTTCCTCAGTAGCTCAACTCTCTTTTTCGGAAGTTGACAGGATGGCAATATCAAGAAACAAGTGAACTAGACTAGCTGCCCATCCCATCCCAAATAATTATTTCCATGCCTTCTAATTATGCATAAGAAAAAGTAATTATCATTTAATCCTTTGGGATAATTATTTTGGACTACAATATTCATAATCGAGTTCATAAAATCTACGTTAATCCCATATGCATGATTAGGAAATAAATTAAAAATGAAGCTTGCCTACGTGGGTTTTCTAAATCCGTCTCTATCCAGGAAAGGTAACTTATCATCCTTTCTCAACTCCACAGTTAATTTAGTTATTCCATCTCATCTATTCAATATCGCCATAAGTTCATCTAATTTGTCTTTGCCGTGTTGCCAAACAGCAAATTAGTCGTCAATATATCAAATTTATAACCTGGGATATAAGAGAGTTTAGTTAATTAAACGCTCCTCTAATTTAGCCAAAATTGGTGCTAAATACGATACCATAGCTAAACCTCGTGCTTGCTCATTTAACTTACCATTGAGGATAAAATATTTATTATTCATAACTCAATTAGTCAATCTAATGATAGCGAATTTACTTAACTGTTTTACCTTTTTAGTTGTTTCTATGTTAACCACTCTACATGTGTATGTCAGAGTACGCAATACCGACAATTATAAAAGAGCCTAAATACATGAATGGTAATAAAGGTGTGAATAACAAATAACAAAGATGATGTTATCTGATGGAGATGCTGAGATGTAAGCCTGTAGGTCGAGTTATGAAGCCATCAGTCATTCCGCGTCAGTCTAGATTCACCAAGACTTACTACTACATGAAGAAGCTAGACTGGGATTGCATAATCTCGTAGATCTGGTCGGGTTAATGAGCGTTATAGACATGTTATACGAATGTGAATGTGGTTGGAACCAATTGTGAGTTGACAAATTGAGTATCCCTCTTTTGGCCACCATGACCTTGCATACGAAATGAAGTCTTCACAACGCAAATATTCACCCCATGACAACTACGAGTTCCAATTTAGACCATGCCTGTTCTCTCGTTTCAACAGGCCAGACACCGGTGCTTGCTTGTCTACGGCAGATGCCAGGCGGGCCCGAGCCTCTGTACCGGAAGACCATGTCGCCTCAGGAAGTGACTGTAGCCCCAGCCTCCAAAGTAGTGCCTGCCAGTGCTCCCAGTGCTTTCGCAGCCTCTCCGGGTGGCCTTCGAGAGGCGAAGCCGCGTGGAATCCGCGGCTTCGGTGCTGGCAACTTCCTTGTCAAGGAGACCCACATAACGCTGACATGGCCGCCTGGCAACACACCGGGCACCGGGACCCCGGTGAGCTGGGGCTCCGGCAGCGCTAGCCGGTCTGTGGCCAGTAGCTCAGCCGGCGTCTCTGGGCCCGCAAGTTTCCGCTCCTCGTCGTCTTCTTCGTCGGCCTCCTCAGTAGCCACGACCGCCTCTTTCGCTGAGTACCGTGCCTCACTAGTCAAAGTTCGCCAGTATCTGCTCTATCAAATCAACCGAGCCGTTTCAGACAAAGTGCTCAGCTTCCTAGACGTGTTACAACAGTCCTGCATCGGTGAGTTGAAAGCATCGCTTCAGAATACTTTTCATTCTTCTTTTTCAGAATGAGTCAAACTCATTTTCTCCTTTCTTATTTCTTATTTCATCTTCCCTATTCATTTTTACATTAAATGTTTGGTTGCAGAGGAGCCTTGCATACACAGAGTGTGATATGGAAATGGCCTGGCCTTCCTTGATATTCACATCTACTTTGTGACCCAAGGGCATTCGTGGCAGTGTTGTGTAGTTGGTAACTTGTAAAATTATACGCTGCACTGTCATGGCTCGAGTCCCGCTGGAGGTGCTGATGAGATCGGCTCATGCCGGTTCGGCCGGGATGAAAATACTTTTTGGGAAGCGAGGCTATGTGAAATTCATTGGAAATGCAAGGCCATTGTGGTAAACTTTAGCCACATGTCCTTCATCACCTTAGACCAAATAGGGTGAATACATCCAATACATTCACACATTTTTTCCAAACAATTTCTTCTTCAAAATGAAATGTCATTTCACAATAAATCATTAAGAAATTCTTCAATATCCTGTTATTATTCATACATCATGGGCGTTTATGCTGTTATCTGTATATTTAAGATATCGGACCTAGAGGGAAGGAACGTTTATACAAAGTATTTATTCCATGGTTCGTTTATAAGTAGGTTTTCAGAACTACCAGTTTATATATAAAGTGTCTTCATCCCATTTCGTTTAAGGTGATAAAGGGAGTGCTAGTTGAATTTTTCGCACAATGATATGGTTAGACCTTACATTTCCAATGAATTTCACATAGCCTTGCTTTCCCAGAAGATGTTCTCATTCAGGGGGTACTCCAGTTTCGACCTCGTCTAGGTCTTATCAACACCCCCGGCGAGAGTCGAGCCATGACAGTAAAGCATAAAATCTCGACACGTTTAACACTACGCCACATTGCCACGAGTGCCATTGAATCACAGGCAGATGCGAATTTCAAGGAAGGTCATACACTTTCCAATATCACATTCTGTGTTGGGATTGTTGATGAAGCAAAATTTTATTTGCTATAGCAATCGACTGTGCTACTTATATTTTCTTTATGGGTAGGCTTTCGAGACTACCGGTATATCATTTATGTATAAAGTGTATTCACTTTTTTCTCCTAATCATTTGTAAGGACATTCTTTCTAAGTTTTCAGTCTGGCCCATTAGTTTCAAGAATAAAGAGTTTCGGATTTTATAATCAAACATAGAGAATCTGTAATAGAGAATTACGAAGAAAAGTTAATTTTAGGGGAATATTGTGATTTCCACTAGTTGGGTTTACTTCTATTTCGAGGGAAGATGTGTACTGATAAGATTATAAGGCCGATCTTATCAGAAGGTGATAATGGATTACCCTTGATCATCCTTCTTTTGGGTTTACTGATACATTCTGGTTAATTCTGGGTTTCGAAGAGAACTCGAATTTTCATCTTGAATGAAATGTTAATTGAAAGGGAATCGTGAAGTGGCGTCACTGGAAGCCGAACAAGGATTGCCATGGAGTTATGAATGTTGTTTTATGCATAGAAGTCCTCGTCGCGCCGTCATGCGATCCTGATGGTTCTAAGCCTAGTTTTCGTCTTTTATTTTGATAACAATCTTCAGAATATGAAAGCAAACTTTACAAAAACAGCATACCAACTACACCAAACCCACTCACCTAATTTTTTATTCTAAGGAGTCATCCCATGATTTGTTTTTGATACAACAGCTTTCAAGACTATCAAAACTTCTTAAATGGGTAATTTTTCCCCACAGTGGGGTGAATAGGCCCTAGGTAGCTATTGGATTTCACTTAACCTTGCTTCTCAAAAGCTATTCTTGTCCAGGCTGGAGAAGACTACAGTTTCGGCCTCTCCTGAGTCTCATCAGCATCCCCAACTGGTGGTGAACCTGTATTGGGGTGCTGCAGCATATAATTTCGTCATTTTTATTCCTTTGTCACGCTGCCACAAGTGTCACTCAGTCACAACGCATTCACACTTCCAATTGATAACGTTATTTGTATTCAAATTGAGTAGGATTTTGCAGCTATCAGTAGATCTTGAATAAGAGCATTGGTCACCCTTGGACTCGTGAGGCCTACTCAGTTTAATGTAAAAAAATTTCGTATCAGTCCTTAATCATCTTAGGAGACCAAGGGAAATAAAGCTCGTGTCTGAATTGTTTTGCTTTATGCGATCTACCAAAGTGCATCTTCAGGTTCCCAATATTCCTGGGGAGGTATTTCTGTATAAAGTACACTATACAGTCTAGGTTTAGGTTGAAATTGGACACCGACCCGAAGACTTCTTCACTGGGCATCAGCAAGAACCGAGCCTATTGCATTCGTGATCCATTTGATATTTTACCACAGGTCAAATACCATTCTGCCGTCATCGCCAATCCCCACTCGTGGCTTATCTTATTTCTTATCTCAAACCCTTAGACGACACGCCGAAATTTGTTATGACAATCTAGGACGAAAAGATTGAGCTACTGACACTGAGTTAAATCTTGCTTAGCCTGACTTTGTGTAAAGGTTGCTCTTAAACTCACTTCCATTGCCATGTAGATAATTCACCATACTTCCGATACTTACCCGCTAATCATACTTTTCAACTCCTTATAATCGATTTCAAGGTACTCTAGAGCGTACTGTGGAGGCACTGGATCGTCTTCAGGCAAACGAGTCAAATTTTTTTACCTTCCACAACTCACACTCCAGCCTAGAACAGACTTTCGATGACTGCGAGGAGCAGGCCGGTCTGGAGTTGGGCCAACCTGCATCCTCGCAGCTGGTCTCTAGGGCGTTAACTCTTCACGTCTGCCCGACCGAGTTCTGCGGGTCGCCGGGCAGTTCAGTCCATCCGGCTTCAACAGGTGGTCATTTAGACTCGAGACTTTCCGAATGTACAAACGATGGTCCACTTGGTGCGGCCAGAGGGCATCAACTCGTCTGTCACCGCTCAACGTCGCCAAGCCTTAAAACACATGTCAACCACAGCTTTTTGACCCTACCGCCGCCGGTTTCGCTTGTCGACTCGTCACTTCCGACACGCGACCCCGTCAACCCGGCAACATCTACTCCATTTAGACGGAACCAACAGCCCATCTCCAGCACTCTTCTTTCCACCCTGAATGCCAAGCAACAAGCACTCCTCTTGTCTCCGGACCCCTTGCCCCGAGTAGACTGCCCCATGCTACCGTCGCCTTTGCCAGTACAGACTTCGTCTCCAGCCCAAGTACCATCACCTCCGGTATATGACCTCGCTCCTCGAACCACACATCCAATGGTGGTCCACGAGACCTCCTGCTCCTCAAACCCCGCCGAAAACCAGGGCTCAGGCACAATACGATTAGAGGGACTGCCTGCCTCACACCCAATCACCACTCCTCTACCTCTTCACACCAGCTCTGCCAACGTAGTTTCTTTCGTCTCGCCTCATTTTCCTGAACCTTTGACATTACCAACCATCGTTGAAAATCAGGTGCCTGGATCTATTTCGCCTTTGGTGCAGGTGCTTGACACTCCGGCTGCTGCTGACATCGACTCAACAAATGAAACAACTTCTGGCTTAGTCTTACAGCCGCCGCCCACCCAGACATCGGCCAGTTCAGGGCTGACAACTTCGGCCGAGCGATTTCACAGCCTACTCCAGCAGACAACTCAACCGATGTCCAGTAGGGTCGCCATCATGACCAGAGATGCTTTGGCGAATGGACAACTCGAAGATCAGCTCGAGAAAACTATGAAGCTTCAGGCTCCAGTTGAAGAGAAACCGGTTCGACAAGACCAACTAGCTCCTCCAGTACAAAACGGTGAGCTGACACAATTCTTTAATCGAGAAGGTTTACCACTAATTTATAAGGTGTATTCACCCTATTTTGTTTGAGGTGATAAGGGGACTGGAAGTTGGATTTTTGCGCAATCATATGAGTAGACCAGTTAATTTCGCATAGCCTTACTTTCCCAAAAGGTATTCTCATCCAGGGTGGGTGAGAAATTACCGTTCCCTTACTTTTGGGAAAGTAAGGCTGGATGAAATTCAATAGAAGAGTCATCTTTACTCATATCATTGTGGGAGAATTCAACTACCACTCCTTCATCACCTAAAACGAAGTAGGACAAATAGATTTCATATAATTTAATTATTAATTAAACATTTGTTTGACATTTGTTCACTATTTTAATTAGAGTTATGCCTGCGGGATTACGGACCTTATTTTATAATTTACCTTCATCAAAACGTGTCCTATTCAAGTAGGATTGCAGTCTCCAGCCCAGCTCTTCAACCTCAAATTGGGACCCAAGGCCAAGACTTTCTGGCTCAGAGGCGAATTGGTAGCAGTCAAATTAGAGAAGCCTCCTTGTCCGCACTCGCGTATCGAACTTGCGCTCTTCCAAACAAACGAAAAGCTCTTGATAGTAATTGTTTGACCTTTTTTTCGTAACTTGATCATATTGACAGAAGGGCCTAGAGGAACGCACCTTGTCCGGAGTCCATAGTATGCATAATCATCTCCAGAGTCGGAATTTGGACTTGGTACAATTGCAGACGTTTCGCTGGCTTCGTCAGTGAGTTTTGCCAGTCTCAACACCAAGCTACAACTCGTCATAGAGACAAGTGAAGTCAATCCCTTGACCAGCTTTCTGTCGAAATAGTTGTGCTATCATTCCTCGTTTTATCCTGGTCCCTTTATCCATTTCCTACCTCCTTGTCTCGCCTCTGCCCTATCACAACTTCTGACATGTTTATACTCCACAAGAGATGTGCCCTTTTGGCGAATTTACCGTGGCGTCATCACACCTGCTGTTTGCCTTCCTCCCTCCCTTTCGAATGGCTGATCCTGCTCTATTCTACTGTCCGGATCTGTCTCATGGCTCAA